TTGATTTAATTATAAATGAATAGTGTTAGAAAAATAATGTATTTATTAATGAATTAATTAGTTTCAAATTTTTTTTACAAATGATTGCGAGTCTTGTAATAATCATTTTCAATCATTTAAGTATAGTTTAGGTGGTATTTGGGATAATGGTAAAAAAAATAAAAATAAAGATAAATTATTGAAATATTTATTATAAAAATAATTTAAGATGTAAAAATGGTTTTTAAAAATATATAATGTATTAAAAATAAAAAAAATCAAATGTTAATAGAAACAGAGAAAAAATAGTTAAATAATTGATAAGAAATAATTAAAAATTAATTTGATATATTTTAAATAAAAAAGGAGACAAGAGAAAAAAATTATTAAAATATATCGAGAAAGAGGTGAGTAATGCTAGAACGAGAAAATTTGTGAGAGAGAGAGAGAAAAAAAATGTTTTCTTCTTTTTTCGTTGAGAAGTCACTTTTTTCAGAAATAGTCTATTAATTTTCATTAATTAGAAATCAAATTCCATTGATTTTTTTCTAAACACAAAAAAAAAAATCAAAAAAATCAAAAAATGAAGGAAAATTAGGCTTATTTTCCTCAAAACAGTACACAATCTATGGATTGCACTCTTAGACTTTGCATGTGTGTGCACCTTTAACTCAAATCAACTTCTTTGGTTTTTTTTTTCCATGCCATCACACATAACATACACATCAATTAATTTGTACAATATTAATAAAATTTTGATAGACATATATGTATTGTTTGTATGTGTGTTATGGTATTACTTGTATTACAATTAGGACGAAAGCAATTGAAGGCCAATTATTGATTTCCTTCGATACCTTTGTAACAACTATTTAGATATTTTGTTAACATAAAGGAAATTTTTGAAGCATTTTTCTTCGCAACCACAATGCTAAATAAATGCTTCATGTAAATAACACTTCATAAAACTCGATCGGAATCTTTCATATAAAAAACTAGTGCATATAAAGTTAATTTTATTATAAAGCTGATAATAATAGTAAAAAAGTTGAAAAAAGATGATAGAAAAGTGAGTTCTGCTATAAAAGAAATAGCAACAATAGTAGAATTACAAGAGAAAGATGATAGGAAAATGAATTCACTATTGAATAAAGTGAATACAAGAGGTTATAACTCTAAATAATTCTCTCAATCTTTAGAAAATACTTGTACACAAACTAATGAACAATCAAGCTTATTTATAGGCTTCAAAATTGAAAAGAGAATTAAAATGAACTATGAATAATTAAAAGTACGTAAATTGTTAAACCAATTACATCACCCTTTCAATTTTTCATATTAAATGATGAATTGAATCACATTAAGAATTATGAATATTGAGAATATAAAAAGTATATGAACATTCATATTGATATTTATTATTTTGTAACACCTCATTTGAATGTCCATTATACAAGGAACATGTCTTGTTAAAACCTAACTAAGAAAAGGTGGAAAAAAATCCTAATAAAGGAAAAAGAGTACAATATTCCTTGTACACCTTAATCCTTATATTGGCTTCCTCCTATTGAAAACATTATTTAAGATCTCTAAGATGATAGATTCCAATCTTGTGAATCATCTTATCAAAAGTTGTGATAAGTAATGTCTTAGTAAACAAATATACTCAATTGTCACTTGATTGAATTTGTTGAACATTAATATCACCACTTCATTGAAAATCATGTGTGAAAAATAATTTTGGTGATATATTTTTCGTTCTATCACCTTTGATGTATCCTTTTTTTAATTGATCTATACAAGTGGTATTATCTTCATATAATATTATTGGAACTTCCTTACTAATAGATAAACTCTATGTCTCTCGAATATGATAGATCATTGATCGTAACCAAGTACATTCTCGACTTACCTTATGAATTGTAAGTATTTTTAAGTTATTTGAAGATGTGATAGCTATAGTTTCCTTTATAAAACACCATGATATAGTTATATCTCTATATGTAAATATATAACCCGTTTGTAATCGAGCTTAGTATGGATCAGATAAATAATCTACATTTGTATCACTAATTAATTCTATCTTTGATTTATTAGAGTAATATAAGCTCATATCAATTGTTCTTTGGAGATAATATGGTATATATTTAATTCATTTCAATGTCTCCATGTTTGAGTAGAATTATATCTTGCTAATAAATTTACGGAAAATGCTATATCATATCGAGTATTATTAGTAAGATATATTAATGCACCAATTGCACTAAGGTATGGTACTTCGGGATGAAGAAGTTTTTCGTTATTTTTTCGAGGTAAAAAATGATATTTTTGGATATCTAGTGAACGAACTACCTTGAACTAGTCAATTTGGACTAGTCAATGGATGAGCCTTATCCATATAAAATCATTGTCGTGCTTTTTTTTTTTTATATATTTGTTGGTTGATGAATAAAAATTTCATCTTCTAGGTGTTCAAACTATAGGTTGAGACAAATTTTTATTTTTCCAAAGTCTTTCATATCAAATTCTCTTTTTAAATAACTTATGACACTTAGAATCCCTTCATGTGTTTCAATTATATTTAAATTATCAACATATATAGTAATTATCACAAACACCTTTTCATATTTTTTTATAAAGACATATGGACAAATTAGATTATTTTTATAACCTTTTCTCAACAAATACTCACTAAGACAATTATACCACATGTGTTCGGATTGTTTCAATCCATATAAAGATCTTGGTAATTTAATTAAATACATCTCTTAGGAATATATTTTACATGCTTCGGGCATTTTAAGTTCTTCTAAAACTTTCATATAGATATCATTATCAAGTGAACCATGTAAATAGGTTGTGATCATATTCATTAAATGCATATGAAGTTTTTCATGTGTTGTCAAGCTAATAAGATAACGAGAATGTAATTGTATCCATTACGGGATAATATGTCTCCTCATAATCAATGCCGAGTCTTTGTGAAAACCCTTGTGCTACAAGTCTTGCTTTGTATCTCATAATTTCATCTTTTTTATTTTGTTTTTACACAAATACCCATTTGTATCGTACTTGGCTTAATATCTTCGGGTGTTTTGACTATGGGTCCAAAAATTACTCGTTTCGTGAGAGATTTTAATTCTTCTTGGATTGCATCTTTCTATTTAAGGAAAGCATCTCTATGTCAATATTATTTAATAGATTGAGGCTCAAAATTCTTATTTGAAATACCAATAGTAATATTATATGCAAAAATATTATCAACGAATGCTTCTTTTTGGTCATATTTTCTTCCTATATTAATATAATTTATCAAAATTTCTTGATTTTCCTCAAGCAATTGGATTTTTTCGAAAGCTTATTATCAAAAATATCTAAGACCATTTTATCTCGCCTCCTTTATATTTTTATCCTTTTTTTTTCTTTTAGGGATTTTTATTTTTAGTACCGATCAATCTTCCAAGCTTCGGGCGTATTTTAAATTCATTTGTCATAACATTAATAAGTTATCCTACTAGGACATCAATTTTAATAAGAGCATTCTCAATGGGAATATATGATTTAGTTACTCTCTTTGGATTAAAGAATTTATATAGCAGTTGGTTTGTAAAACTTTGTACATGAATTATCATTTAAATTTCAAGTTCACAACTTCATATTGTTTTGTGCGAAGATAAAGATAATATAAAGATGAAGTATTCCACTTAATTTCTTTTTCAAACATTTTCAACTACTTATTCTATTTATTCTCTCCCTCTAATATTGGAAAAAATTGTTTCATCAAAATGATAGTCGAACAAATCAAGTCGTGAAAACATCCCCTATTAATGGTTCAAGATATTTAATTATAAAAAGGGATTCGTATCCAATATATATTTCTAATCTCCTCCGAGAATTCATTTTAATTCATTATGTACGAGTAATTAGGACATATACTACTCTTTTAAAAATTCTTAAATGTGAAATATTAGGCTTATGACCGAAAACAAATTAAAGAGAGAATTTCGATAACTTGTAGGCTCTGATGCGAATAAGTATTGTTACATATAAAATTACATATCCCCAAACATAAACAGAGAGTTTTATTTTCATAAGTAATGGCCTAGCTATCAATTAGAGGCTTTAGATAAATAATTCTACCAAACTATTATGAGTATGAACATGAGCAACAAGCTTTCAGCCTTTATTCTAATAGACATACAATAATCATTAAATGCTTGAGAGCTAAATTACGAACATTATCAAGGTGAATTGTTTTAATGGTATAATCTAGAAATTGAGCTCATAATCGAGTTATTTAAGCAAGTAACCTCGAAAACATCATATTTTGAGTATATATATGACCATCTTATAGATGTATCTATTAAAATAATAAAATATCTAAATGGTCTACATGGTGGATGGATTAGTCCATATATATCACCTTGAATACGTTCTAAAAATACCGAAGAGTTAATTCTAATTTTATTTGGTGATGACTTAATAATAAGTTTTCCTATTCATCTAGATTTAAAATAAAATAAAATAAAAATTAGATACATAAATGCAGTCCTAAATACGGCAAATTGATGGTAATAATGCTGCTTACATACATGCCACCCCATGGAATTTTATGATTTAGCTATAAGCATTAAAAGTTGAGCAGAAGTGCTAGATTGATGTGGAAACTCTTCACATCCATAATCTAATAGTACTAACAAGATGAAAGGTTACAAAAGGATATTCTTACTTTTTTTTTTTTTTTTGATTCCTTCATTTTATACCATGTAAATTCATGTCAGTGAAAAGCAAAAGCAAAAGAGAAAAGAAAACACAAGACCATAAGAAAGAACTTGCAGTTAGTACTAATGTCAGCTACTGTGGAAATGCTCGTCAGTCCCAACTCATCTACTATTCAAAGTAAAAAAGTTAACCCATCTATGCATTGCATGCTGGCATCAACATCAAAGCTAGCTAGCTACCTAGCCCTTCACTTTCATGCTTGCACAGATTCTCATTTCCCTTGCATTTCTTTTCTGAGCTCATTCCATTCCAAAAATAGGGGACTGATACACTGAGAGGTTGGGCTTTACAGATTGGAAAGAATGCAAAGATTGAGCAATCCAGCTACTGTAACTTGAGTTACCCTCGCAACTGCCACCATTACTATGCATGCCGATGGGTGTAGCAAATGGGATATTTGAACTTGATGATGATGTACTAATCCCATTACCAGCACTCTGTTGCTGCATATAACCACCGTTGAATACTAGCCCACTGTTGTTGCTTTCATTGGCTGATGGATTTGCATTGAAGAAGTCCATACTGAAAGCTGTTGGACTTTGAAAAGCAGGACCACTAGTGGAGGATTGAATTAAAGTGCTGGGTGCAACAATGTTGCTACTGTTCTTGGCATTGTTCATGGTGGTGGTGATGTTTTGGTATCCGAGGATATTGGTCCAATAATCTGATGGGTCCTGTTTGATGGGTATGGCAAAGCTAAGAGTGGACGTTGCAGGCTGAGAAGGAAAGGATACTGAGGAAGCTGAAGAGAGATCTCGATCATCGGATCGGCTTCCATCAATACTTTTGCTATCAGAAGCTGATTCTGAGGAATTTTTTGACTTGCCAGATATTCCTCCAATGGGAAGATTGCTGTTAGCTATGCTTTTTACGTCATAGCGACTCATGTCAAAGTTGGTTACAGCATTTAGGCCTCTAAATTTGATTGCTGCAATGTCATAAGCTTCGGCAGCTTCCTCTTGTGTGCCTGTTTGACCAAAGAAACGTTGTCTTTATGATCACATTGGACATACAACTAAACAATCAATAATATAAAATGAGAAACAATGAATTATTACCATTGCCAATATATACTATTCACACTGTAGATATGGATGACAGAAAGAAGGATTAGAAAACTCACTAAAGGTGCCAAGATAGAGATCTTTGTTGCCGGCAACTCTTCCTATTCTTGCTTGCCACCTACCGTGTTGATGATGCCTGAAATAAAATGCAAGAGAATACATTCACCTTCTAGTGTCGAAACATTTTCCAATATTTATAGTTGACAGCATAAAATGAGGTAAAAACATGACAAACCTTGTCACTCCTCTGTAAATCGAGGCTCCTCTAGAGAAACCACTACTTTTTCTGCAAGATAAACAAATATAAAAGATAATGAGACACGTACCATTAACAAAAATTTAAAATAAAAGAACAAAAGAACATTGAAGCATAATTAAAGATGGTTATAATTACCTTCGAAGTGACGCAACAAACTCTTGCCTTGTCATGCGCTTCATCCCTTCTAGTTCCTTCTCATAGTTACAAACCTAAGGTATAATACAAATATTCAAATTCAAACAGCTCCATGAAAACAAAAAGAAGGAAAACAATAACTTCCAAGACTGAATTTTTTTAAAAAAAATATATATTCTTGACCAAAGCATTTAAAAAATATATTATAAAGCACTCACCGGAAAGTTTGTGGTGGTGGTCGGACCCCAATACTTGAGAGCTGCAAGATCATACGCTCTAGCTGCCTTCTCCTCCTTGTCATAGCCACCTAAAAAATATTATCACAAAAAATGAACATTTAGTATCAAAAAATAATAACAATACGTAAAAAGAATCTAGATATATAGATTCTGAACTTGCTGACAAATTCATGGGAAACAAAAGAATCTCAAGTTACAGTGACAAAAATCTAGTGTCCAATCTGAACTAGTAGCTGAATGATAATGGTGATGATGATAATTTGGCGAAGGAAAAATATTTTGGGTCACCTTAGTAGTAAAACAAAATGATGATTTTAATCATACTTAATATCATAAGACTAAAAGAACTCACCCAAATAAACTGCAAGGACAATGATGATAAATTGTGCATCCATGGAGAAGTAATCATTCGCCATGTACATGCCACATAAAGAAACAAAAGCAGATCAGAATCTTTCATAAATGCGTACACTGTAACAAAACCTAAAGCTCTTCAAAATCCCAGAACATCTAGGCCCTTGAATGAAACAGGTTATTAATTTATTCATTTCATTTTTCTCTTGGATTATGCAGTCCATTTCATTGGCAGTAATACTCTTTCTTTCACCATTTATTTCTGTCACACACTTGACACTACCAGAGGACTGTTCACGCTAGCTGACTCTCAATCCCAGATCTCGCATACTACATGTTAAGGACATGCGCACCTTAAGCGCACATTAGAAGAAATCCTTAAAAATTAATATCAAGAATGGAATAGAAAAAAAGCTTTTAATTACCTTGTCTTCCTTTTCTACTTTGGCCTTCCCTTCTGCAACTATTATCCCACAAATGGGCTTCATATCTGCCAGTCCATCTATGCCTACACAAATCCCAACAAAAAAAAGAACATAAAATCATCTTTTGAATAATTATTTTCAAGGGGAAAAAAAGGGAGAAGAAATATACTTCTTTTCCTTCTTTTTCTTTTGTTATTAAAGATTAATTTAGGGTATCTATAGCTATTAATTACCTGGTGACTCCTCTATAGATTGAAGTACGTTGGCCAAAAGTATCAGCAGTTTTCTTTGGTGCATGTTCAGCCTGAACAAGAAGCTGTTGATGTTTTTGAGTACTATCGGTTTGTTGATGATCAGTAGAGGCAAAACCACGAAGGAAGCTAGCAGCTATAGTTTTGAGCTCAGAGTCATATATCTCAGAAGTCGTACTGTCAGATACAGTAGTAGCAGTAGTAGTCACGGCTGTCTCAGTAGAGAACTGACCACACAGTTGTTGTGATGGTGGTTGTGATGGAGTAGTGGTGCAACCACCAAGAAAGTCCTCAAGCTTGGGTCCCGAAGTTGTAAATAAAGAGATATCTGTAGCTCTAGCAGCAGCTACTGCATTTTCTTCTTGTGCTGAATAAACACCACAGACTGTTAATATAAAAACAGAAAAGAATCTAGTTGTTTAAGCAAAAATAAGTGCAAATAAATGAAACGAAGATATCAAGAAAGAAAGAGAGAAGAAAAGGGACCTGAGGTGGTGGTGGCGGTGGGGGTAGTGTTAAAGGCTTCAAAGAGACAGAGGTGAGAGGAATCAGAAGAGGAAGAGATGTCAATATTATTCATGTGATGATGGTTGGAAAGAGAGAAACCGAGCCAGTTCTGATGAGAACTAGAATCCATGTTATAGTTGTTGTTGTTGTTGTTGTTACTAGACAGATTATTGGGTTTTTCTTTCCTTTCTTTGGCTTTGGAAATAGCAACCGTGTTAGCAAGCGTCTGAAGCTTATAACTGAGAGAGAGAGAGAGAGAGAGAGTCAAAGAAGTGGTTTCCTTTGATGGGAATAATGGAGAGAAGGTGACACAAATATAGAGGAAGAAGAAAGAGAGATGAAATATCAAGTGAGAGACAGACTGAGGCTTGCACGAAGATCGAGGGTTATAATATATATATATATATATATATGCTTCTATTTTTTTTTGTTTCTGAGGGTGAGAGGGAAGGGAAAACAACAATAAATGGAGTGTTGAGAGGGAGATATAAGAGAGAGAGAGGCAAAGCAAGTGGAAGCTTTCTATGGGATGACAAAGGCGGTCTCTCTCTCTCTCTCTCGCGTCTTGACCAAAGCATTATCAATAACTTTAGACAGTTTGAGAATTGAATCTCTCTTCAAAAATAAATACCCTACGTCAACAGTTCAGACGTTATTAGGGACAATTTTTTTTTTCCAATTGCCATTAAGTTTGCCTAAAATAGAAAAATTGTACAATAGCATTTTATTTTGCATAGGGGTCAATATTCTACGCGATGAGAAGGTTAGTTGCTAGTAATTGAAGGAATACGAGAAATGTAATAGGTTGATGGGGGAATCAATGGACCTCCGCAAAATGAGAAGCTGCTTTACCTTTTATTCATTTGACATTTTTTTCAAGTTTAAATAGTTAGAAATTTGAATTTTTGATCTTCTCAGAACCATAATGTGTCTTCAAATACTGTTGTCAATAAATTCTTCATTCAAATAGACAGAAATTTTACCAAGTGTTTAATATATGTGAAAACGACAGTTATTTGACCATGAAACATAAAATGCATGGATTTCACAATAAACCAAACTAAAGAGATCACATAAGCAGATTAAGGTTTTAAAAACCCCTAGCAAATTGAGAGTTTTGTGATGAACAATAGCTTATATAAATTAAAAAAAAAACATAAATTTATTCTGAAAGAATCAGTAAAGAAAACTATAATTAAAGATGTAAAGAAAAATAGTAAGTTTATGAAAGTAAAACGCAAAATATATATATATATATATATATATATATATAAAGCTTAAGCTTGAAAAGAAGGATGAGTTGTGAATTAAAATTGGAACTCGAGAGAAAATTGTATTATAAATTACCCGATAAGCTTGGTAAAAAATTAGAATGAGTATAAATTTTTTCGGGGTTATGCGAGATATTGAGATCTCGTACAATTCAAACTTTTTTTTATTGAGACCCTAAGTTTTTTTTTATTTAATTTAACTCGTTATACTCTTATATTGTTGTTGTTTTAGATCCGAATAAGCCATGTAAACATACGTGACAAGTTCTAACTAATGACGACTTGCCACTCGTCATGATAAGCTCAAATTAGATGATTGAATTGATGACATAGTAAGCTATCATTGGTTAAAAATTATCACGTGTGCTTACATAACAAGTTGTCATTGGGTAGGGTTTAAAATAACAATAATGTAAGAGTAGAACTCTTAGATTGGATAGAAAAAAATTTAAGATTTCAATCAAAAAATCTAAATTATACGGGGTCTCAATATGCATAAAACTCAATCTTTTTAAATACTAATTCATTGCCTAAAAGTTACTTGTCCCATAAGAAATTAAATTATACCCATTGTTAAAAGTTACTTTCTCACACGGAAAACTCTTTATTAATTAGGACAATTATGCAAGAATTGTACTCAAATAAGGAAACAAAATATATACGAAGTAGAGTATGGGATTATTTGCAAAATTTGATCATGAATATGTTTTTATACTTAAGTTGGCAATCACAAAACCTTCTAGAAAAAAATATATATCTTTTTTTTTCAATATTAACAAATAAAAGCAAAAAAATAAGCATTCTAATTGTTCGATTCATCGCTTATATAGACTCGGTTTCATTATGGATATACCTGTACATTAGCAATCTTTCTCTTTCATCTATTACAAATCATTGTGAAAATCTATTTTTTGCATATTTTCCGTTTCAACCATCCAATCTAAATTAATTATTTTGGAACTATCCAATTGGACGTTACTTTATTTCGATATCTATCATCCATATATAAAACCCTAACAATCACAACCATTAAATCATGATATATAAATTCATTTTATCTCGACCTTCATGTTTTTAGATAGGAGCATGCATCGTTCTCATCTTCACCCAAAACCGTCCACAAATCACTACGACAACATCATTTTATCCCAATCTTACTAAACCATCTTCCTCTATCTTCATCTTTATGCTCTCTTTTCATCTTTCTCTAACACACAAACAAACATACATACATACGAACCATCTTTCTCAAACATTTTTTTCTTTTTTGGGTTTTAGGAGAAGAAGGTGAATCTCGGGTTAAGGATGATTCGGGTTTAGAAAAGCAATCCCGAGTTTGTTTACATTTCGGGTTTGGAAAGAAGTTCTAGGTTTATACAAAGAAGAATTTTTGGGTTTAGGCGGATTTTTTGGGTTTTAGCGAAAGGAAGGACTTTTTTGGGTTTCCACGGGATAAATTCGAGTTAGAAAGAGGAAATTTTATTTAATTTTTAATAAAGAAATATTTTTAGGATTTCAAGAGGGATTTGTGTGGGTTTAGGAGAAAAGATTTTTAGGGCAATAACAAGAGAAGTTTAGGGATTGTTTTAGGGTTTTGGGTTCCATATCCGAAAGGGTTTTTTCTAGGTTTTACAAAGGGCAATTTTCCCACTAGTTATAACGAGAATCGGATCAAGACTCGTAAGTGATTCTACTCTTCTACTTTGATTCCATTTCTTACAAAAAGATTCTAGAGTTGAGGATTTTTTAAAGAGAAGATTACTAACTGCAGACTTAATAAACACATAGGATAGTAATGATATGAGAGCCTTTCCGGTTTTAGTCTCTTTGATGTAAAGACTCTATTTTGGAAACAACCAAAACAAAAGAATTAAGAACCGGAAGAGGAGAAGGAAGAATCTTGGGTCTTCATCTCACCATCAACCTCGAATTTTGCTATTTTCCTTAGTATTTTCCCACTCGTTTAGATTCCCATCATAAGTAAATCACTAAGCTAGAATAGTTTTTCCTTCCATTTCTTTTTCTCATAACATGCCCGTTAATCCCTAAGGTACGTTAAGGTCCATGTTTATTTTTGAATTGATAACACATTAAGGTTTGGTTTCTATTTTTTGTTTCTTGCATCACAATGGACATGAATATGGGGTGCTTACCATGACATGATCTCTCGCTTAAATAAATAAATAAATAAGGGAAAGTGGAGCTATCTATTTTCCAACCGAAGTTATGACAATAGAAAAGGAGAGATATGTAGAAGAAAGAGAATGAGCATGGGCTAGGAGGAAGGATTAAATGGTTTGGGTTAGTGATTTTATGCTTTGGGATATTGTGGTTTACAAAGCTAGCAAAAGAATGGCTTATGAGCTACTGGAGTTGTTGTAGTATAGAAAGAAGGATAAGGAAAAAGAAGGAACTCGAGTCGGGAAGAAGGAAAAAAAGACGAGAAAACCATGTGGAGTTAACTACCAAAAAAAAAAACATAAGGGTCATAAGCAATGAATTCTTCTTCAACCACCAATGAGAATCATAAGCCAATAAATATTGACTTAATACAAAAACAAAAAAATGTTTACCCTAGTAAAACGCAGGCCACGTTTTAGTTATGAACTAAGTCAATAACGTTCGATTATTTTATCGTCAAATACTTACTAAAAGTTACCGAAAACTTCAATCACTTAAAATTAGTAATGCTATGTGTCTTATCAAAATTGGTTATTTAATAGGTAAAAAATATTACATTTTATTTAAAATGGTGCTTCCAACTTAAATTCTATCATTTTCCTATTTTATATAAATCAATTGTTCCAAATTCTTATTATTTTGCTATAATGAAGAACAAAATAAAGATTTTATATTGAATTACATATGAGATAAAAACAACTATATTAAAATATGAGTTAATCATAATTTCAATTTACCAAGTTGTTAATTTACTCTAATCAAGTGTGTCTTTTTTAATTTTTGTTGTTTGAGTAATCCAAGTTACAATTTTTTCAATCAAGTATCTCCATTAAATTTTCATCATTTTTTTTCCATTATTTGCACACATGACCCCGTAATGGGATTCGTTTTCCACATGAAAATGGTGTGGGATACCATGTGTAAATGACCTAAAAAAATTTTTAAAAAATAAAATCCTACCATTACCATCATCATCTCCAACCAAATGAGGCCGACCACCTTACTTTTTCTCTAAAAAATAACGCCACAGTCATCGTCTTCTCCAACTAAACCATCATCGAAACCACCCTTTTACAACCATCATTTTCTATATATTTCCTTACTATTATCCAAGCTCTCACCACTATCATAGGTCCTACTCGTTGTTCTCCTCCAAAATCCAACGACCACGCCATATTCAATCTCCTCCACTCGCCATTAGCCTACCAAACACCCTCTTAAAATCTAATCTCTACCATTCACGGTTCTCCACTGTCATATAATCCTTTGCTACGATCTAACCCACACTAAACACTTTCAAGCCATCATTAACACTAGCCACTACCATCATCTCCTTTCACGCTAAACTCTTAAAAGCCACCATCAACATCAACCACTATCACGAACGCACTACCATGTCGTCCTTAGCTAATGCCTATAATCAACACTTACCGAAACCCTCTTCAACATCTCGAGCCACTAAAAACCCATAAAATTTTTCTCTCCTAAACCATCATAATCATTAAGCTTCAACAAAGAGGTCGAATATGTGGTTTTTATTCCTTTTTTTCCGAAAGACAAGGAAAATAGAAAGGGTTGAGTGCATGGTTTTCATTCTCACCCCTCTCGATGGTGGTTTGTTTAAGGTTATTAAAGATGGAAAAGATAGGGAGAGGAGAAGATTGAATAACTTATTTTA